GTGAGGTGGTATCTCAGTGTGGTTTTGATTTGTATTTCCCTGATGAGGAGGGATGCTGAGCATCGTTTCATGTGTCTGTTGGCCATCTGGGTGTCCTCTTTGGAGAAGTGTCTGTTCATATCTTCTGCCCATTTCTTCACTGGGTTGTTTGTTTTTCGGGTGTGAAGTTTGGTGAGTTCCTTATAGATTTTGGATACTAGCCCTTTATCCATTATGTCATTTGCAACTATCTTTTCCCATTCCGTTGGTTGCCTATTAGTTTTATGGATTGTTTCCTTTGCCGTGAGAAGCTTTTTATCTTGATGAGGTCCCAATAGTTCATTTTTGCTCTTGATTCCCTTGCCTTTGGGGAGGTGTCAAGTAAGAAATTGCTGCGGTGGAGGTCAAGGAGGTTGTTTCCTGCTTTCTCCTCTAGGATTTTGATGGTTTCCTGTGTCACATTCAGGTCCTTCATCCATTTTGAGTTTATTTTTGTGTATGGTGTAAGAAAATGATCTAGTTTCATTCTTCTGCATGTTGCTGTCCAGTTCTCCCAGCACCATCTGTTAAAGAGGCTGTCTTTTTTCCATTGGATACTCTTTCCTGCTTTGTCAAAGATTAGTTGTCCATACACTTGTGGGTTCAATTCTGAGTTCTCTATTTTATTCCATTGGTAAATGTGTATGTTTTTGTGCCATCTCAATTGCCATTTAAAAAAAAATACTCTATAGCTTTTTGGTTGCCACTACGAATTTAGTAGTGTCTCCCATTTCTTATGAACTTTTTCCCAGAGCAGTGATTAGAGCTTCAGAAATCCTGGAAAAGAAAAGTCCTATTTACCAGACAAGATGAATTGAGTTCCAAAATAAATATGCAAAGAGAGAAAATCCACTTTGAAGAGTGTGTTATATTCAGGTGCAGGGACATAGGGTTTCTTCCTCATTTCTAAAGGAAACACAAGTATGAAAAAGAAGAGGGAAATAATTGTCCATTATCTTGAGGTTAGGTAGGATAGGCATAGTACCAGAGAAAAGGGATTTTCTGTTTTCAGTTCAGGGCAAACTGAAACTCAAAGGAGCCATTTCCTAGAATGAACAAACTGGATACAGAAAAAGTTAAGAGGTAACTTTTCCCAGAGGAAAAAACTAAATCTCAGAAAACAAAGGACAAAGCACTGTTACACAGGGCTCAGCCACCCATAGTCAAGACCTGGGACCTTTATGTCCTGAAGTCCAAGCTTTGTTGAAGGAAGTCATGAGAGTTTCATAGTTGTGGCTTCTTGGGGGTTTTGAGGAAGGGAAGTAGTGTTATGGAGGAAGTACGAAAACACACCTCATTTCCTTACATAGCATGAAAAATTGGATACTCTATTTATCCACACCATGTTTCTGGATAAAAATCACCAGAAGGAATTATCTTTGAAACTCAACTTACCCAAGTCAGCAGTAAAGGTCTGTATGATCCCCTGAAGTGTGCTTGGTACCTTCATCCAAACCACATTCTACTATTAATCCTGGACATTTCCTCCAAAACATAATAATAATAATTCATTTATTGAGTACATACTGTGCACTAGTACTGAACTGGGAACATTGCAAATGCTGGCCTTCCTATCATCTAGATTAAAAGATGAGGAAAACTGAGGTTCAGGGGTAAAGTGATTGGATCAAAGATATAATAAGCAGTATAACTGGAATTAGAACTTCAGAGTTCTCATACTATGGAGCTTAAATAGAGGAAGGACTCTTATCCAGACAGACTCCTGACTTAGGGTCTTCTCAAGCAAAGTCCTGCTATCTGTTTAATTCACAATGCTACCAACAGACAAACAGCTCCCCCCAGCCTCTGAATCTGTTGAGGCCCAAAAGTTTTTGTTAGACTATTCCTTACTCTAAAGGCCTTCTAAAGCAATCCTTGAAAATTCTTCAGTTCAAACTCCTTACCTCCCTGGAAGATCCCTGGACTAGCTTCTCTTCTTTAGAGTTCAGGAGACTTTCTCTGAAGCTCCAGCACAGCCTCTGAAACAACCCCCCCCCTTTTTTTTTCCTTCTTCTTTCTCTGGAGTCCCAGTTCTGATCCCTTGCTATCCCTCCACTCATGCCCATCTCTGCTCTCTCAGAACTCAGTGTCATGAGAACTTGGAGAGGACATGAGGGTATTAATCTGGCTTTTTCCACTCTAGACAAACCTCAAAATCCTCCATTAACTGACTATAATCCTCTCACTTCTCCAACTCCTATATCTGGTTCAGGAACCAACAATTCAAATAAGGGAAGCAGCAGCAGCAACTACTAAAGCAACCAAACCAGACCCTTCCAGCCAAGAATGTGCACATCTCACTCATAAAATCAATCAGTCTCCATTCTTTTTTTTCCCCTGCAGTTTCAAATTTCTATACTTCCCTTCCACCTCAGCCCTTAGGCCCTTTTAACTGGGCATGGGACTCTCATCACTGAAAGTCCCATAAGTGATATCCAAATGTAAGATCCTTACTTGGAGAAGCTAGTGACCTCAGTTTCCTGCTTTGTACTCTGATACCTATGACATAGTCCAAATAAGGAAAATGTACAACTTTCCTGATGCAAGTGAGACATCCTGCTCTTCTTTACATTATCTATATCAGTATCCCTCACCAACAAGGTCCCAGCTAGAAGAAAAGAGTTCCTCTCTCCATATATTTGTTGGTCCAGCTGTAGTTCTATCTCCTGGACAAATGAGGTCAAGTACGACAAACTGGAGCTTTGCAGCCCATTGTCTAAGAAGTAGCCTGGAATTCTAGAACAACGTCAATATAGCGGACTTTGGATTTCTTTGCCTAAAATACAAATAAATACCAGATCACATGGAAGAAGGATCTTCTCTTATACAGGTCTCTTTTCTTTCCTTTTTATGCTTCCAACCCCAAATATCTGGGTCAGTGTCACTTTGATTCCCATAGAAATGTAAAAACTAGATTTTTAAAATGTTTGTTATTTATTTTTGAGAGAGAGAGAGAGAGAAAGAAAGAGAGACAGCATGAACAGGGGAGGATCAGAGAGAGAGGGAGACACAGAATCTGAAACAGGCTCCAGGCTCTGAGCCAGCTGTCAGCACAGAGTCCGATGCGGGGCTTGAACCCACAAAACATGAGATCATAACCTGAACCGAAGTCAGACACTCAACCAACTGAGCCACCCAGGCACCCCTAGATATTTTTTAACAAGTATAGCTCAGTACTACACATCAGCCTCATAACTCTCCCAGGAGGTAGGCCTTCCTAGTTCCTTAGATGGCCAAAGAGACTCCAAAATCCTCTCTTCTCAAAACTATCTTAGTCAACATACAATGTAATATTTGTATCAGGTGTTCAATACAGTAATTCAACACAATATACAACACGTTTTACTCATTAGAACAAGTGCACTCCTATTTAACCCATCACCTATTTAACCCATCCCCCTATCCCACCTCGCCTCTGATAACCATCAGTTTATTCTCTATAGTTAAAAGTCTGTTTCTTGGTTCTCTCTTTTTTTTATCCCTTTGTTTTTTTGCTTTGTTTCTTAAGTTCCACATATGAGTGAAATCATATGGTACCTGTCTTTCTCTGATTGGTTTATTTTGCTTAGAATAATACACTTTAGTTCTATCCACATACTTGAAAATGGCAAAATTTCATTCTTTTTAATGGTTGAGGAATATTCCATTATAAAATAAACAAACAAACAGACAAACAAACACCATATCTTCTTTTTCCATTCACCAGTCAATGAACAAGTGGACTCTTTCCATAATTTGGCTATCGTATATTATATTGTATTGTATATAATGCTGCTATAAACACTGGGTGCATGTATTCCTTTGAATTAGTATTTTTGTATTCTTTTAGTAAATACTTAATAGTGCTGGATTATAGGATAGTTTTATTTTTAACTTTTTGAGAAAACCCCATACTGTTTTCCAGAGTGATTGCACCAGTTTGCATTCCCACCAACACTGCAAGAGAGTTCCCCTTTCTCTGAATCCTTGACAACACTTGTTGTTTCTTGAGTTGTTGATTTAGCCATTCTGACAGGTGTGAGATGAAATCTCATTGTAGTTTTGATATGTATTTGCCTGATGATCAGTGATGTTCAGCATCTTTTCATGTGTCTGTTGGCCATCTGCATGTCTTCTTTGGAGAAATATCTTTTCTGGTCTTCTGCCCATTTTTAAATTGGATTATTGGGGGGGTTGAGTTTTATAAATTCTTTACATATTTTGAATATTAATGTTTTATCTAATATCATTAGCAAATATCATCTCCCGTTCAGTGGATTGACTTTTAGTTTTGTTGATTGTTTCCTTTGCTGTGCAGAAGCTTTTTTATTTTGATGAAGACCCAATAGTTTATTTATGTTTTTGTTTCCCTTACATTGGGAGATATATCTAGAAAGAAGTTGCAATGCCAGTGTCAAAAATATTATTACCTGTGTTCTCCACCAAAAAATTGCTAGAATTGATACATGAATTCAGTAAAGTTGCAGGATACAAAAATCAATGTACAGAAACCTGTTGGATTTTTATATGCCAATAATGAATCAGCAGAAAATTTAAGAAAACAATCCCATTTACCATTGCACCAAAAATAATAAAGTATCTAGTAATATGCCTAATCAAAGAGGTAGAAAGACCTGTGTTCTGAAAACTATAAAATGTTGATGGAAGAAGTTGAATATGACACCAAGAAATGGAAAAGCATTCCATGTTCATGGATTGGAAGAACAACTGTTGTTAAAATGTCTATACTACCCAAAGCAATCTACACATTTAATGCAATCTCTATCCAAATACCATTTTTCACGGAGCTATGACAAACAATTCTAAAATTAGTATGTAACCACATAAGACCGCAATTAGCCAAAGCAAACTTGAAAAAGAAAAGTAAAGCTGGAGGCATCACAATTCAAGACTTCAAGTTATATTACAAAGCTGTAGTGATCAAGACAGTATAGTACTGACACAAAAATAGATACATAGAATAGAAAACCCAGAAATGAACCACAACTATATGATCAATTAATCTTTATCAAAGCAGGAAAGAATATCCAATGGGAAAAAGAGTCTCTTCAACAAGTGGTGCTGGGAAACTGGACAGCAACAAACAGGAGAATGAAACTGGACCACTTTCTTACATCATACACAAAAATAAATTCAAAATGGATTAAAGACCTAAATGTGAGCCATGAAACCATAAAAATCCTACAGGAGAATACTTCAAGTTTTTATTTTAATTCCAGTTTGTTAACATATAGTGTTATATTAGTATCAAGTGTACAATATAGTAATTTAGTAGTTCTATACATCATCGTATGCTCATCACAACAAGCACCTTAATCCCCATCACCTATTTAACCCATCCCCACACCCACCTGCCCTCTGGTAACCATCAGTTTGTTCTTTATAATTAAGAATCTTTCTCTGACACACTCTCTTTTCCTTTCCTTGTCTGTTTTGTTTCTTAAATTCCACATATGAGTGAAGCTATATGATATTTGTTTGTCTCTGACTGACTTACTTCACCTAGCATAATACTCTAGCTCCATCCACATTGCTTCAAATGGCAAGATTTTATTTTATTTTTATGGCTGAGTAATATTTTTACCTTAGACTTTTTTTTTAAAAAGGGTCAGCAGCAGGGTTGGGTTGGTCATCAACCTTTAAAGGGACCAGTATATAAATTTATATTTTATTTAAAATCTTTAGGGTCTAGGGTTTTCTAATAGATATTTTCAGTCAAAATTTAAAGGGAAATTACCATTACCATTAGTTTTAATATAGAAATCCATAATAAATGTGTGAACTGGTGTAGAAAGTAAGAAAACAGATCTTGAAAATGAGATGATTATCTAGGAAAATTGACAAAATCAACTGTCAAACTTTTAGAATTACTGTTCAGGAAATTTTCCAGTATATGATCAACCTACAAATTTAATAGCATGTCCCACAACCAATAACAAAACAAAACATAATAAAATAAATACCTCTCAATAAAAAACATATAAGTATCTAGGAATTTAAAAGCAATTTTTTTAACATTTATTTATTTCTGTGAGACAGAGAGACAGAGCACGGGCAGGCGAGGTTCAGAGAGAGGGAGACACAGAATCCGAAGCAGACTCCAGGCTCTGAGCTGTCAGCACAGAGCCGGACGCAGGGCTCAAACTCACAAACTGAGAGATCATGACCTGACCTGAAGTTGGCCACTCAACTGACTGAACAACCCAGGCACCCCTCTAGGAATTGAATAAAGGTTATAGGAGATGTTTTGGATACAAAGCTTTTGAGGCCATAAAATAATAAATTTAAGAGGACTGAAATCATAAAGTGTGTTCTACAAACTCATTTGGAATGAAAATAAAAGTCAATAGCAAAAGAAATTCAGCAATTTCTCAAAATTCCCAAATACATGGATATTAAAAAGCACACTCCTAAACAACCAATAGATAAAGACAAAATCACAAGGAAAATTAGAAAATACTGAGAGATGAATGAAAATAAAAACAACATACCAAAACATATGAGATGAAGTTATATTACTACTTAGAAGGAAATTTATAGCTACAAAAGCCTATGTTTAAAAAATGGTATTTCAAATCAGTAACCTTTTTTTTAAATAGGAAGGAAGCTGGCATATATATATATTAATATGTGAAGTTACACTTTAAGACAAAACACTTTGTTAGAAGTAAAAATATATTAGACAAGGACAAAAGGAACAATTAACCTGAAAATATAATGATTCTGACTTTGTATCTATTTAACAAAATATTCTCAAGATAAATGAAGAAAAATTAACAAAATTCTTGGGGAAACTTAAACACATAATCGTAATGGAACATTTTAATACAATACTCAACAATGGATGTCAAACAGATTAAAATTCAGTATGCATAGAGAAGGTTTTTAACTATACAGTAAATAAGCTTGACTTAAGAGAAGATTTCTTCATCCAAATTATATAGAATACACATTATATTAAAGCACATAATGATCATGTACAAGACCACACAGCATACCTTAATAAACTTAAATGAACCAATAAGATATAAGCAACACTTTTTTAGTCACAAGGCAATATAACTAGCAGAAACTTCAACTTCTCTCTCCATTTAGAAATTAAAGAGTAAATCTTTAAGTAATCAATAAACCATGGAAGAAATTATGTGAATAACTTGGTATATAATAATAATGATAACTAGATCCATATGTACTAGGGAAACTAACAGTAGTAGGTTTGTAGGTCTTTGTTACCCATCACATTTCAGATCACTGCAGAGGGATCTTGCAGGCAAGACTGCAGACCTGGGAGAGAGATACTGTCCCCTTAGGCTGTGACATTTCTTTGTCTTTTTTTTTAACTTTTGATTTTTTTAATAGTCTTTATTTTTTAGAGCAGTTTTAGGTTCATAGCAAAATTGAGCAGAAGAAACAGGGATTTCCCATATACCCCCTCCTCCCTATATATATATATAGCCTCCCCCACTATCAGGAGGGGTAGGTACATTTGTTACAACTGATGAATCTACATTGACATACTATCACCTGAAGTCCATCGTTTACATTAAAGTTTACTCCTGGTGGTGTACATTATATGGATTTTGACAAATGTGTAATGACATGTATCCATCATTATAGTATCATATAGGATGATTTCACTGCCCTAAAAATTCTCTATGTTCTACCTATTTATCCTCTCTCTCCCCTAACCTCTAGCAGCCACTGATCCTTTTACTATCTCCATAGATTTGCCATCAAACCAATAAGTTTATGCCTTCAGAAACTAGAAAAAGAAAATCAAACTAAGTCTAAGGTAAGCAGAAGGAAGAAAATAAAAACTAGAGCAGAAATAAATCAAATAAAGAATAAAAAAAATATAGCAAGTGAACAAAATAAAAATCTATCTCTTTCTTAATCTGACGTATTTCATTTAGCATAATACCCTTTAGACCCATCCATGTTGTTGCAAAAGACAAATACCATACGATTTCACTTATCAATGGAGTCGAAAAACAAAACAAATGAATAAACAAACAAAAAGCAAATAAGACTTATAGAGAACAAATTATTGGCTACCAAAGGGAAGGGATCTCAGGCGACAGGCAAAATGGGAGAAGGGGAGTGAGAGACACAGGATTCCAGTTATGGAATAACTAAGTTACAGGAATAAAAGGGACAGCATGGGAATATAGTCACTAGTACTGTAATAGCAGTGTACAGTGACAAATTGTAGCTACACTTGAGCATGGAGATGTAACATACAGAGATGTTGAATCATTATGTTTTATATCCCAAATTAATGTAACATTGTGTGTCAACTATCCTCAAAAAATATTTTTAAATAATTGAAAGGAAAAAAAGTTAGTTCTTTGAAAAGATAAAAAAAATGATGCCTTTAGCTAGATTGACCAAAAACAGAAAAAAATAAGTAAAAAAGAAGACTCAAATTACTAGAAGCATAAGTGAAAGATGATACCACTACCAGCCTTACAGTGATAAAGCATTATAAAGGAATACTATACAAATTATAAAATTGTGCAATTATTCATAACAAATTAGATAATTTAGATGAAATGGATAAATTCCTAAGAAGACACAAAATACCAAATTTGACTAAACAAGAAATAGAAATGTTGTGTGTAGAGCTTTAACAACTAAAAAGATTGAATTAATAATCAAAAACTTCCCACAAAGAAAAGTCCAGGCCTAGATGGCTTCACTGCTAAATTCTAACAAACGTTTAAAGAACTAACAGCAATCCTTCACAAACTGTCCCCCCAAAACAGAAGAGAACACTTCCTAACTGATTCTATGAGACCACATTACTCTGATACCAGAATGGAACAAAAACATCATAAAAAAATTACAGAGTAATATCCCTTATGAATATAGATGCAAAAATCTTCGACAAAATACTAGAATACCAAATCCAGCAACATATAAAAAGGAATATATACCAGACCAAGTGGGATTCATCCAGGAATGCAAAGTTGGTTCAACATTACAAAAAAAAATCTATACCATATTAATAAAGGACAAAACCACATGATCATCTTAATAGATACAGGAAGACAAAATCCCTTACACTTTCAAGAAAAAAAGACTCAACAAACTGGGATAAACTTTTGAACTTCTTAAACTTGATAAAGGACATCTACAAAATATCCACAGGTAACATACTTAATGGCAAAAGACTGAATACTTCTCCTCTAAGATCAAAAACAGGAGCGGCGCCTAGGTGCTCTAGTTGGTTAGATGTCCAACTTTGGCTCAGGTCATGATCTTGCAGTTGGTGGGTTTGAGCTCCATGTTGGGGTCTGGGCTGACAATTGAGAGCCTGGATCCTGCTTCAGATTCTGTGTTTCCATCTCTCTCTGGCCTTCCCTACTCTCTGTCTCTGTCTCTCAAAAATAAATAAACATTAAAAAACAAACAGGAAACAAATTTGGGATGGCCACGCTCATCACTCTTGCTCAGCACAGTGCTGAAAGTTTTAAGCAGTGCATTTGGGCAAGAAAAGGAAATAAAAGGCATCTGAATTAGAAAGGAAGAAGTGAAATATCTCTATTCACAGATGGCATGATCTTGTATATACAAAATCCTAAGGAACCCATAAGAAAACTAGTAGAACTAACAAATAAGTTAAGCAAAGTTTCAAGATACAAGATCAATATGTAAAATTTTTATAATTTTCAACTGCTAGTTGTTCATCCCCAAATAAGTTTACCTATGTGGACATATGTGCATGGAAGAATCCAGGGAGAGGGGAATTCAGTATCTGTTTTTGGTCCATTTATTCAAATAACAGCTTTGGTGAACTTGGTATGTGCTGGGCATCATTCATGTGCTCTACATATATTAATGCCTTAATATGTAAGCTTATTAACACAGGGTCACACCAAGTATTTTCATCCCCATTTCACCATTGAGAAAACTGAGGTAGAGAGGGGTTAAGTAGTTTGGCCACATACATAAGTTAGCAAAGCCAGGATTATATATTTTCTTTCCTTAAAAGATAGCTAAAGGGGTGCCTGGGTGGCTCAGTCGGTTAAGTGTCCGACTTCAGCTCAGGTCATGATCTCGCCGTTTGTGAGTTAGAGCCCTGCATCGGGCTCTGTGCTGACAGCTCAGAGCCTGGAGCCTGCTTCGGATTCTGTGCCTCCCACACTCGCACTCAGTCTTTCTCTCTCTCTCTCAAAAATAAAAACCTTAAAAAAAAAAAAAAAAAAAAGATAGCTAAAAGGGTTTCTTTGAAGAGGAAGTAAAGAAGAGCACCAGACTCAGAGTTGGAAGAACTGAGTCTTTCCTCTGGCTTGTCCACCAGCCAGCTTTGTGACCTTGGACAATTCACTTCTCTAAACCTCTGTCTCCTCATCTGTAAAAAGGGGAAGTTGGACAAAGTAAAAGCAAAGCTCCTACCACCTCATATTCCTCACACAGGACTTAACTCTGTGTCTGATTTCTGACTTAGAAACCCTCCCTCTCCCAGCCATGGGGGAAGGAAGAGGGCCAGGAGAGGACAGCCACTTACTTGTCATGACAAGAAATAGGAGAAACAGAAACAGGACCGCATGTCACTTGCACAAGTTGCTGCTTCAGCCAGTGATGGGTTTAGGTGAAAAGCATGGTTATAATTAGAGCAGCAGCCTGGCCTGACTGCTCCACCAGCCACAGTGAGCACAGCTGGATCTGCCGACTGCACGCACAGGAGTCTGAGAGGCTGCTCCGACCTTGAAAATGATCCTTCTTGAATGGATTTGCCTCCTTCCTCAAGGGAAAGAAAACCTATTGATATAAAAGCTTATTTCCCTTCCAGCTTCCCCTGCTAAATGCTATTCCAGTAGAGACCAAGTGTTGATGAATGCCAGGGAAAGAAAAAAATCGTAAGCTGAGCCTGGTCACATTGCCCCTTGTGATATAGTTTTATTTTTAACTTCGAAACACTTGAACTATTTCTGTTGAAGTTTTCTCTCCTTTCCCTGCCTCCTCAACAGAACTCCGTCCTGTGCTGCAGCTGATGCACCCCGGCCACTTCCTGAGATCTGCTTCCTCACAATCAAGGGACACAGGTGCAGCAGATGCTGACTCAGCTGGTGCTATTAAGGTAAGCTGTTTATTTTATTTTATTTTTTTTAATATTTTTATTTATTTCTAGGAGAGGGAGAGACAGAGCAAGCAGGGGAGGGTCAGAGAGATAGGGAGACACAGACTCTGAAATAGGCTCCAGGCTCTGAGCTGGCAGTCAGCACAGAGCCCGACGCGGGGCTCGAATCCACAAACTGCGAGATCATGACCTAAGCGAAAGTCGGACGATTAACCGACTAAGTCACCCAGGCGCCCCGAGGTAAGCTGTTTAAAGGTGAGCAGGTGCACCAGAGAGACATTTGGAGTGGTGAACGTGGAGATAGAAGCTGGGCTGCGCATCACCTTTTTGCTCTGAGTAAGAAGATGGTTAAGTGAATTAATTAGATGTGGTGGAGAAAAGGGGTTGGCTTTGAGAATGAGACTCAACCATATGTAAACTCTTGGTTTAAGTCAAAAATCTTACAGCAGGAAGAAATTACCTGCTTTCTGACAGCTTACATTCTTTCTTCTACAATCAACCAAAGTGGCTATGTGATATCTCTAAAGTTATACAGTAGTGATGGGAGGGGGGTTGGGTCAGGATGGAGGAGATGGTGAGGGAATAGGAGGAAGGGCCAGACACCAAGATTCCTATTTTCTAAAGTCCAGGTTCTCTGATCTTTTCACCAATTAGCATTTGCTACGTTAGCTGTAAGTCATTCTATGTACCTTAAATTCCATCTTGTGTCATACTACCGATTAATGATGTGGCACAATTATGTTCATTTCATGTACTATTTAAACTCTGTTTGCAGAGCTTAAAACCTGTTTTTCTTTAACAATATTCCCTAAATGTGGCTGTCTCCTCTCGAAGTCTCTTGATTCCAAAATGCATCCATGGAATAGAAGTGAAAGTATTTTACAAGTTGACAAATTCATCCAGGCTTTTGCACACAAACCAAAATTATTTCAAACTTGGAGCTTCCCATCCAGAGGGACAAAAGGAAAATAATGACTGGTACTTGAGGTATCAAGAACTTTAAAACGTAGATTATTTCTAGTTTTTTAAATAACTGCATAGTGTTGCATGCACAAATAAATTGTCAGGCATAAGGGTGCAGTGTGTATTTTCTTGTTTCCCTCTGAGCCTTGCTTTAATGTTCAAAGTTCAGCTAAGGACATCCTAGGAAGTAGCCTATGCAGCAAAAGGGATTCTGTACACTCTGAACTTTGCAGTGTACAGGCTAAAGCTACCAATGCCAAGTAAAAGGAGACCTACCCAGATACCCTAACTCCTGGATTCCTTCCTTCTTGCCTCTGTAACTTCCAGACATGTCCCAGAACTGTGCTGTAGATGTCTAGATTATAATCACCCCTGTTTGTTAGGCACAATGTATTGTATAGAACTAACTAACTTCATTTAATTTTGTCAGTGTTTCCACAACACCAAGGTCTTCAAGGTATATTCTGGGATGCTGTGCTGGCAAGACTGGGGCATGGTGGTTTAGGAGTAACCAAGCATACAGGCTGCCTCACAGCTACCCCAAGATAATCTAGTTAATTAGCACTTTCTTGGCCAATATAAAACAGTAATTAAAAATACTGATACTAATAACATAAGCCCCAGATATGAGAATTAACTAAGGTATAATGAAAATGCAGGAATCATAGACCAGAAGCCTAGGATTATGGACCCAGATATGGGAATTATCAGACAACTGGTTGTGTTAAAATCTCAAGAGGCGAAGGGATTACTTTAGTATTTACCTTTATACATTTTCTTTCCCTAGAATTAAATATCACCATAGCAGGGGAATAGGTTAACAATGTATAATTAAAGTAATTAATTGGGTAACAGGTTAAGAGTTGAAGAATATCTCTGATCTTTAACTTTTGACCTTGTCACTTCCACTGAAGATAAACCTCAGGAATAAACAATTATCACCAGGGCCAGCCACATGAGGAGGCAAAATAGTTAGTTGCTGATATCATTGAGGGGTGCTGAAAGGGGCCCTTGCCTAAAAATATCTCCCTGACATCAACCCTGTTTGCCTACTAATTTTAAAACTATAGTAAAGAATGTTAAAGTTATTATCTGTTAATCCCATTCTCTTTTGCTTGAGTCAGTGATTTAAATATACCTGCTATATGCCTTCTCATGACCTTGTTGGCCAGTGACAGTCAGGCATCACCTCTTCCTCATTCTTCCAGGCTCTGCCCTATTTTGCCCTTGGTTCCATGTAAGCTGCCCACATGCCCTTGGCCACCCCTACGATACAGGTAGCTCTGTGTGGCATTGTGGTTTCCACAGAATTCTCACTATTACATCAAGGTGAGAAGCAAGGGAAAGACATTTTACTTTTCTCTGGGCCTCAACTTCTCTTGTATGAAATGAAGAGGTTAAACTAGACACTTTCCTTTCAAAGTGAGGTTCTTAGACAATCAACATGATCAGGAGCTTTTTATATGGTAAGACTCTTGGGCCCCACCCCAATCCTACCACATCCAAATCTGCAGTTTATTTTTTTAAATATTTATTTATTTTTGAGAGAGAGAGAGAGAGAGACAGAGACAGAGAGAAAACACTAGTGGGGGAGGGGCAGAGAGAGGGAGACATAGAATACGAAGCAGGCTCCAGGCTCTGAGCTGTCAGCACAGTGCCCAACGTGGGGCTTGAACCCCCCGAAACACAAGATCACGACCTGAGCCAAAGTCAAATGCTTAACTGACTGAGCCACCCAGGCGCCCCCAAATCTGTATTTTAAAAAGATTGCTCAGGCGATTCCTACACACATGGAAGATTGAGAAGTTCCAAAGCAGAGGATTTGTGGTTATGTGCCTGATCCAGATTTCTGATTTCGGACTGCAAGGATTTAGAACAAGTACTACAACCTCCTGAAAACAATTCTGGCAGCATTCAGAGCGTCTATTATAACTCAAGCCTGCAGAAGTCTTTTCCTTTCAGTTAAGGCTATATTCACCTAGTAACATTGAAAACATTTCTTTTTCTTTCTTAAAAAAAGAAGCCCCAAATTAGCATACATCTAACATCATTACAACTTTCCTCCTAAATCTGTTTCAAATTGCTCTCACACAGCTCTTTCAAAATGCTGTTTTCTTTAAGGTTCTATTTTATTTCATTCAGTTCAATCCCACTGAATAAACATTGAGTTCCAGGAACACTTTGGCTATATTCATTCTCTCAGTGTCTCAGAAACTATTGTCTATATTCTTGAGGGGCATTGTGTTCTCCTTTGGGATTCTAGTCAGAGCCCCTTTCCCACCAGAACACACTCTCCTGGGCAGATAACATCTGCTCCGTTGATGGCCTTCATCCCCGTGCTCTCCATCACAGCACCTCCCCTTAGGGAGTACTGACCCTGCAGCCCATCGCAAGAGGGAAGCCAATTTTAGCTTACACCTTCCCTTTTTGCATAATGAACAGAATAATCTATGTAGCTACATAATAAAAATGACAAACTTGGGCCTAGGAAACAAAGATGCCTCATTCTGCCTTTGTGACATCTGAAAGGTCCTCCAGCCTGGATGCAGTACTGTTTAAATTCCTAAGAGTTTCAAGAATGAATGTGGTGAATACAAGGCACCATAGTGGGGGGATTTTAGGGAGACTCACATTCCTATGGGACTAAGGCAAGACTTTTCTCTTAAATGGATTTGAAGATGATTTAGCAGGCAGTGGAACATAAGCTACATTGGCGTGATGGAGAACTGAACACTGAAAGGCGGGCCAACAGTGGCAGGAGGCAATGGGAAGACACAAAGACTTGGGCACAGAAGTGACCACAGGAATGACCTTCCTTATAGGGGAAGGACTAACAATTGAGTGACACTTTCTCTACTTTATTTCATTTGTCATAATCCTCTGGGTTATTATGAGTTCCATTTTATCAATGAATAAGTTAGCTTTAGGGAACTTAACTTGCCAAAAATTACTTAGCTATCACATGACAATGTTCATGAATTTACTTTATATTGAGGGTGTCTGGTAAGGCCTCCACAGGAGGTAACATATAGACTGAAATCTAAACAGCAAGAAGGAGCCCATAACACAAATAAAGAGCAAAGGGAAAATTTTGGTAGAAAGAACCAACACAAAGTCCCTACACTGGACTAAGTGACAAGGCTAGACCTAAGTGCTCAAAGGAGAGATGAGGTAAAGGAGGTCACCAGGGGACACTGATGCAGGACTTTGTGGGCCAAGATAAGGGTGTCAGAGTTTACTCCTTGTGATGGGCATCCACTGGAGATTCTAAGTAGGAATAATGACCTAATGTTTAAAGTTATTGAAATCACTCTTTCTGCTGATGAATATAGATTACAGAGCACAAGATGGGAAGGGTGAGACTGATTATAGGCTTTTGCACCAGACTGAATGAACACGATGGTGCTTGTGTCCAGGCAGTGGTGGTGGAGATGAGAACAGACGTGCCCACTGACCTTTCAGATCTCTTCCCAAAGCCTTCCTACCTAACTGGGCAGTAGTTCCTTTGTGATTGAAAGCACAAAATCAACCAGCTTCTAGCTCAGCGATTCTTAAACTTGAGCTTACAGCAGAATCAGCTGGATGCAATAGTTCCCATTCTGTAGGGCTGATTTGGTAGGTCCAATAATTTACATTTCTAACCAGTTCTTAGGTAATACAGACACTGTGGGTCAGTATGTGGGTCATTTTAAGGGCCACTGTTCTAGCTGACTCGTCTTTTTAAAATTAATTTACTCCTCTCTGAGTGGTCCACACAGAACCACAACCTTCATCAAATGTTCCTCCCCTGCCAGGTTCTAACTTATTCCCTATTTTTGTAAAGAAATATCTAACAGTTAAACTCATGTACCTGGCCCCTCCACTTACTCACATTTCATGTAAACTGCATCTGGTAAAACCAGTAACAATTCTGTGTAGTCTTTTTAAACTATTTAAGCCTAAATTATATTATTTTGACTGCTATCTCCTCTATCTAGGGGAACTTTAAAACATAATTTGGGGAGAATGTTTCAGAGAGTGTTTGGCCATAGGCTTCATTGAAGTTCATTTTTAAGAGGAGAGAATGTATTGTCTTTTCAGATGGGAAGTAAGAATGCATTTATTTATTTAAGTTTATTTATTTATTTTGAGAGAGAGACAGAGAAGGATGGAGAGAATCCCAAGCAGGCTCTGCTCTGTCAGCACAAAGCCTGACACAGGGCTCAAACTTATGAGCCCAAAATCAAGAGTCAGATGCTTAACTGACTGAGTCACCCAGGCACCCCAGGAAGTAATAATTTAAAGATGAACATAAGAGGGGCGCCTGGGTGGCTTAGTCGGCTAAGCGTCCAACTTTCACTCAGGTCATGATCTTGTGGTTCGTGGGTTCGAGCCCCACGTCAGGCTCTGTGCTGACTGCCAGCTCAGAGCCTGGAGTCTGTTTCAGTCTGTGACTCCCTCTCTCTCTGACCCTCCTCTGCTCACGCTGTCTCTCTCTCTCTCTCCTAGAAATAAATAAAAATATTTTAAAAAAAAATAAAAAAAATAAAGATGAACATAAGAGCATAGAAACTGAAGGAGGAAATGGCACCTGGATAAAAATACATTGTTTTTGTCATTAAATTTTGTCAACTTTTTCCACCGTGAAGAGTTTCTATAATGTATGTGCTTTAATTTAGTAGGTTTTTGAGTTTAAATCTCAGAATCTATATTATTCTACAGGTTATAACCTAAAACTGTATTTTCATATTTGTACTACCTCAAATGCAAAGCCACAGGACCTGGATACTTTTCATATTTCCTCTGTTCAGATGGGGCACAGTATGGAATATGATCCAGACAAGGACAAAAAGAAAGTCATCAGAGAGATGAAGGTGCTTCTTATGAACTTCCTATGAATAAAGAACATCCAGTTCCTCTACAATCTAGAAACATTATATATTAGACACTTTCTGTGCCTCAAATGGAGGAAGGGAGGCTCTTCCCCTGATGGGCTCTAGTCAGGGGCTTGCTTTCTTCCCAAATCATGGGGATAGACCACATGTCTCTGTGGGTCTCTAAGGGGCACAGTGTGATGTAGCAAAGAGTACAGAGTTTGAAGCCAGACAAACCTAGGCCTCTTTGCATTCCACTGGAAAGCGTAAAGGGTAATACCCACATCACATAGCCATTGTGAGGATTAAAAAACGTGTTACTTAAAGCACATGGTAGGCACTGAAATCTTATTTTTCTTTCTCCCTGATATACAAAATGCAGAAAAATTACTCAGTCTAGGAAAGTCAGACAAACACCATGGAGAATAAGGATCCAGTCACTGCACTGGAACAGAGATTAGGAGAACACATCATCTTATGTCACAAGATAACCAATGATATATATAAGTTGATCAATTTAGGGCAAGACCAACTGGCTACAACCTAAGATGATCGGTCAAGTATTCAAGTTTGTCTGGCACTAAAAAGCTTTCTGGGATCTGGAACTTTCAGCGCTAAAACCAAGAGAGTCCCAGGCAAACCAGGATGATTGGTCACCATGCTTACCAAGCAATCATTAGACAATCAAGAATTTTGGATTCTCCTTTATCTCAGTGGTAACAATCTCCCCTAGATATACAACAAAAGGTTCAGGTATGATTTTTTACACCCTTAGAATATATTTATCTTTCTTCTCCTCTCCACTGTCAAACTTCTCCAAGAGTGGTCTCCACTTACTGTGCCTTTCTGCTCAGTACATGTCCTCTCTCAAAGTCACTTATCTGGTGTAGCTCCAGAGCCTGGCAGAAGATCTTTAAATAGCATCATTAAAAACAAAACAAAGAAACGGTATCTTTGTTCCTGCATGTATTGTTTTTTTTTTTTCTCTTAAAGGGATATTTTCAAGTAACTTCAAAGACATGGAGAGCAATAGGGCTCCACCACAGATGTTTCCAGCTTCAATAGCACTGTTCCAAAGAAACCATACTTTACAACGCTGAAGGATAAGAAATGATTAGGCTTAGAGTTCATCACCACTGTCCCTCCAGCCAAACGTATCCCTGCTGCTGGGGCTGAGTTGTCACCACACGCACAGAGCACACAAAACTAGCTAGGCCTGCTTGTCCCTTCATAGAGACTGGTCTCAGCTTTGTGACAGAACCAGGCTGACAAATATGAAGTTGGACAGTCATGCTGCTGGTAGCTTCTTTCACTTCGCCTTATTCCATGTATGATCTGCCTCTTCTTTCCCAGCTAAAAACCAGTAGGGGACTCTGAATCATCCAGACTGCATCTTTATTCATGAGGGTTTTTTATGAATAGAAAGCAGATGATCACACTCTGCCAGCCAGGCCACAGGCCCTGCCAATACTGGAATGTGTGTTTAATGGCTTCCCCCTCCCCTCCAAGCAAACACCACAATTCGCATGGCAAGGGTCTCACCACACAGCTGAAATGCCACATTTGCTCTGGCAAGAGCTTTTTGGGGATCTGCCATGAGCAGTGTCATTGTTACCATTGTTCTTAATCTTGAGGCAGCATTCGAGGCTATAGCACACCATTTCCTTTACATAGGGCCACAGAGTTCTGACTCTTAGCTCTCTGGTCTCTCCTTCCTCTGGCTTTACTTCTCCCTGCTGTCTTGAAAGTGGTCATATTCTGCTCTGTACTTCACGGCTCACATGCCTATTCTATACTCTTCTCTTTCCAGTTATGGCGTCCTCTCTCACCTCTAAGTGAACAGTTCTCAAATCTGCATCTCTCCGTTATATCCTCAATATCTGTCATCACCTTAAAATCTTGTATTAAACTTGCCAGGCTCATCTTTCCCCCTAAAACAATTCCCTCTTCTGTTTTTCTCAGAATTACACTCAATACTCTCTCTTCCTGTTTCAAAGTCTTGGCATCAACTTTGACTCCTCCTCTTTCCCCATCTCCAGCCAGAAAACAAAATGCTGTGATTCCCTTGCGATGCCTACTGTCTGCCTCATCTTGTCTAGTCCACACCATCAGTTCCACCCCTGCAGCTTTAACACCCGCCATGAAGCAGTTTCTTACTCTCAGTCCCTCCACACTGTCCCTCCACTGCTGGTTAACATCCAGTCACAGTGTTAAATGGTCCCTTATTGAGCAACCAAATAATTCTAGATGCTTTAGCCTCATATTTACGAAATTCCCCCACCCCAGAAATGATGAGTCTAGAATATAGAAGGACCCTAACTGAATGTTAAATTATATGGTAAATGATCAAGTAGCTGGACTCTTGGATCCGAAAGATGTCCTCTTGCCCAATCCTATCCTTCTCCACCTCAGTCCAGCCTTCACAGCCCTTCACTCTCCTCAGTTCCCTTTCTGGCTTTAACACCTTGATTTGTCTTCTCGTGGGCCCTGAATCCACTTCATGTTCTTGCTTGCAACTTCTTACTTCCTGATTCAGGATATTAGGGATATAAAGCTATCTGCCATAACCCCTCTTTCACACTCAGTAGTCCTAGTGCATAAGAATCAGATGGGTAATGTGTTAAGGATATGAATTCCAGATACGGCCCTCAGTTAAGTCTGAGGTGTAGCCAGCACAGCAGTGCTGTCTGAAAGAACTTTCTATGCAGATGGAAATGTTCTGTTTTGTGTTGTCCAATAGAGTAGCTACTAACCACATGTGGCTATTTAATACTTGAAGTGTAGGTAGTATGACCAAAAAGTTGAATTATTAGTTTTCTTTTGATTAATTTAAACAGCCACATGTGGTTGGTGGCTGCCATTGTGAACAGTGCAGAGTAATAGCTTTAACAAGCATCACAACTGATTCTTCGTAGCAATAATGCTGAAGAACTACTTAAACAAGCAGTGTGACATTTATGCTCCCTTACTGGCATGTTGTAGGTAATCAACAAATGTTTGCTGAAGGAATGGATGAACAAATGAATACATGAACAAATTTGAACATAATTTCCTTAAGATTTAAGGCTATCTCTTCTGGAAAAGAAAGTTGAGGGGACTTTTCCAAATTAAAAGAGGCTAAAAAGACTTACCAACCAAATGTAATAAATTGACCTTAAAGGGACCCAGGTTCCAAAGTTACATTTATAAAAGAAGTATTGAAGACATTTTTGGGGACAGTTGGCTGAATTTGAATACAGACAGCATATTACATGATACTGGGAAATATTTTTTAGTTTTCTTAGGTGAGATAATGTTATTGCAGTTATAAAGAAAAACTTCTTTAGTGTTAGGAAATATGTGCTGAAGTACTTAGGGATGAGGTGTCATGATATCAACAACTTATTTTCAAGTGGTTTGGTAGAAAGTGTGTGTGTGTGCGTGTGTGTGTGCGCGCGCGCGTGTGCATGTGTGTGGAGAGGCAGAGAAAGCAGAAGTGGCAAAATGTTGCCTTTGAAATCTAGGTAGAGTATATTCAGGTGTTCATTGTATATGTTCTTTCACCTTTCCTGTATATTTGAAATTTTTTTAAGTTACAGGAATATTCACCCACAATGAATTGGCAAATCCTAAAGTAAAATAAATTAAAATTTCAAAATATTGTATTT